AAATTTTAATATGGTTTTTTAAAAAAAAAAAAAAAAAAAAAAAAAAAAAAAAGTCAATGAAGCCTCTTCCTTTCTCTGCTCATCTAAAACCCCCTAGCTCCATCCACAAACTCTCCAGGGCTCTCCCACCCCCATCTCCATGCCAGGCCTACTCCTGCAGGGCCCTCCTTCCGAGTGGCTCGTACCGGCCAGCAGGGGGCAGACAACGATTTTCTGTCGTTTGCGGCTGCGCTCTGGCGTCCACTTGTCTCAGGCTTCCGCTTAGCTCGTGCCTGGATACGCTTCCCTAGCAACGGTTTCCTTAGCAACAGGAGGACGCGGGCTGGAGGGCTTGGTTCCTGGCGTGTTCCTAGCACCTGCTTGGGGTCAGAGCCCCTAACAGACCATGTCGGAGATCCTGTGCCAGTGGCTCAACCAGGAATTGAAGGTGTCCCGGACCGTGAGTGAGTGACCACGGTCGAGCGCAGGGGGCGAGGGGCGAGGGGCGAGGGCTGCGCGAGGGCGTCCAGCCTGGAGCGCCGCGCACTGGTGGAAGGTGGACCAAGTGCGAGCTGTGCAGGTGGGGCACCTGCGGGGCCGGGCAGCCCACAGCCGGGGGGGCCGGTACCGCGACTACCCTACAGCTCACGGGTTTTTCGACTACCCTACAGCTCACTGCAGTCCTGCTTGCCACTCTGGCGTGACCCCTCATCAAGGGACGCCCGGGCTCCCAGCTGTGAGGTCCAAGCGATCCGCAGGGTTAGTGAGGGCTGTTCCTACCGAGAGGGAACTTCGCTTGACCCCAGCATTGTCCCCCCCCCCATGCCATCAGAAGCATGGTGCTCCTCCAAGACACTGAAATAGGAGGCCCCTGGGTAGGTTAAGATCCCCTCTCTGTGCATTGTCCAGTCTGGAGAGGATCCTACTTCCTACATGCCTCAGCAGCCTGGCAAGAGAGGGCATGTGCAAAGTATAGTGTTTACATTTACAAATTTTAGAAATTTGAAACTCAAATCTTACAAACCTTAGCTATTTATGACCACTGTTTATTCTTGCCTGAAGTTGACCTTACTCAACTAACCTGATTTTACCCTAATCGTGAAGTTACCACCCAAAGCTTCTCTATTTCACAACCACAGAAGCAATTTTACAAGTTGGGAGTTAATTCCAGCACAGCACTGCACTCCCTCTCAACCTCATTCTCTTGTTCTTGCAGTAGGAGTTCATTTTTCAGTTGGTATGAGTTTTGCTCAAGGCAAGAGGCTTTCAGCACAAAATATTGCAGTCAGTTTTCCCAGAAGAACCCTTGCATAATACCAGCTTGCTACTGGAGGGCAGAGGTGCCAAGTCTACCTCAGGTCACCCACAGACATGGCTAGATCAGTGGTATTTCTGTGGGCAAAGTATTTATCAGTATGAGATTTTTAACATTGAACACCTCCAGTTGCATTTCTATGGCATAAACTCAATGGTTTCGTTGCCAAACCATCACCCACACACTTCCTAGGAGCTCCAGAAACTTCTTTCCCAGAGTTCTGTGGTTATCCCATTGTGTCTGTGTTTCTCTCCTCAAATATGATGCTGACCTCAGAACAATATTTCACGTTGATCATTTCTTATTCCTTTCTCATCCTAGGAGCCAAAATGTGATATCATGCCCTCAAGGTGTACTCTTCTCCCCCCCCAATAAAAGCAGTTACAGTTTGCTTATTTGGTTCATTTTTTAATTAGTTAAAATGATACTACCTTTTGCTCAAATCCCCAATGCTCTATTGCAGATTGGAACACTTTTGGGAAAAGTAAATAAAATTAATAAGAAACATAAAAACGGTAGATGTCATTGTAATTGTAATGTGTCTGGGGAATTTTGGTAACAGAGACAGGAAGGATGATTTCATTTTGTGAAGATTAAAAGCCTGGAGATGTTTTAAGTAAGAAGTTTTACAACATAAGTTATGAATGGAAAATTCCTGGCATCTTCATTTCCGAAGTGTAAATCTGGAAGCTGTTAGCAGAGACTGCATTCTGATGCAGTATCTTGCCTTTCATTTGCTAGCAATACATACCAGCTTCTTTTTTTACGAATTTTTTATTTTATTTATCATTCTTATTATTTTTCAATTTCCTATAGGGCATATGCACTCACCAGAGAAAAACAGAAAGAGAAAGAAAGAGGGAAAGTGTGAAAGCAAGCCACCCCACTAGGAACTTGAACCAAGGTCCTCCATGTGGGAGACTAGCGCCTTAACCACCATGCCACCTGCAGGCCCCCATATTCATTTCTTGATCTCAAGTGCTATACTGTGTCTAAGAAGAGAAAATGATCTGGTCCTAGAGGTAACCAAATTGTTACACATTATAATAATACAGTAGCTATTATATTTTAAGAATTTATTAGAATAATATAATTACATTGTTATATTTATATAAAAGGCCATTGAGGCTATAAGGAACACAGGCAACTGTGGAAGGAAACAAGATAGGGTCTGTGCACTGTCTGCTATGCCCCTTCGTTAGGTAAGCTGCCTTGTGTTCTACGGTGTATAATGGAAAACTTTGGATGATTTATAGAACTCATGATGGAGGAACTGTAAGTGGGTACAACCCCTGGGGAAAGCAATTCAGCAGATTGGGGGTAAGGATCATGTAAGAACAAAGATTTGGATGCTATATGGCCTGGGTTGAAAACTTATTCGCCACCTACTAGCTAGTGACCTTGAGCAAGGAATTTACCTCAATTTCATCATACTTAAAAATAGCAGAATGATGTTGTAATACCTCTTCCAGTTGCATCAAGGTTAAATGAGATAATAAATATAAAGCATTTATGACAGTATTTGGGGCATAGTAAATGACAAATCATACTTCTTAACATTGATCATATAAAATAAAATCACAAAGACGTGAGGATATTTGAAGAAAGGTAGTTGCTACATGGATTATAGAGTCCAAAATAAAAATGAGGAACAATCTGAATCTTATTCAGTAATCTAATACTTGGATAAATAATGCATCATTCATTCTATGGATTGTTATGTAGTTATTAGAAAAAAATGATTTAGTTGCTGTAATTGCAATATAAGCTATAGCTTGATCAAAGAGACCTTGATAATTGCTCAGGTTTACACACTTAGCAGGTCCTAGAACTAAGATTTGAACCTAAATTTGGGTTTGTACTTTAGGAACTATACTGTATATAAGAGGAAAAAATATATACATATACACAAATACATACACACACACACACACACACACACACATACAACTAATTCCCCAAACATATTTATTTGAGCTCCTTTTATAAGAGTTATTGCATAGTTTGAGGTCACAAGAAGTACAGAAACTGTCAGAGTATGTTACAACTTCACAGAGCATAATCTAATTCCTAGATGGTCAAGTGGCAAAGGTAGATTTTTTTTGGTATTCATTTAGAAGTGGTTCAGTCCACACGTCTTCTGGGACAAAGAAGATGAGAATATCAAGAGAGTGCATTTGCTGCCTTGATGGGGTTCAATAATGTTTGTGCCATTGGAAGGGCAGCCAAAGCCAATGGATTTCTGTGTAATTCTGAAAGGTGGATGCCAATTTGGATAATGTGTATTATATTAAATTTTGTATGCCTGGACCACCCAAGATATTTCAGTAAAAACAATGAATTCCAATCGTCTCAGTTGTGACTACCCTTCTTCTAATAAGGGGATAGTACAGGTACCTGGGCACCTGGAGACTTGATCAGCCTCAATATAAGAAGATTTAAAGCTATGTAACCAAAGTTAATGATCTTCAGTGAGTTAAACTTAACTAGACCATTTCTCCTAGAAAATAATATGCAGATGTGCATTTTAATGAAATGCCTTGAAATACAAAACAGCAGGAAATTACATCTGAAATTGAAGCGATTATTTTATAATTAAAAATAAGCAAAATAATGTCAATAAACAATTTGCTATACAATTCTTTAAGAACTCTCAGTTATTTTCAAGAATAAACATTGTGTGTTCTATAAAATTCTTACAAATTTACCATGAATAGGAACTAGCATCAGAATTTCATAACTAAAGTCTCCATAAATAACACTGGAGACCGTGTGGAAGGAGGGTGGGAGAGTGGAAGAGTTAGGAAATGAAATTAGGGAGAAAAATAGAAAGGTAAGACATTTGTGGGACACAGAAATGGTTTACTACCTGTTGTTGATAACATGTATAGTATTATCAACTAGACTGTTCTGAGGTGTATTTCATACAAGATAAATGATGTATAGCAATTGAATGTATAATACGAATAATAATAATAGTAATAAATAATAAGTAAATAATCAAAAAAAGAAAAAAGTTAATTGGGACCAGCAGTAAGAGTAATGGCTATGTCGCTGGACTCCCATGTAGTCGAGCACGGTTCACGTCCCGGACCCGGTGGCTTAAAAGTCACGCCGGGCGCGTGTGCGTGTGTGCCCAAGATCCCGAGAGGAGAACGGAGGAGAAAGGATTACGGCATGGCCATCCCCCCTGGGGGGTGATTTCTCGCTTTCTGTCTCTATGTCTCTCTCTGTCTGTCTGGCGAGCGCACGTGCCCTATAGCAATAACCTCTCAAAAAAAAAAGAGTGAATTTCATGATATTTACTTTATACATCTATTGAGATAGTCATGTGGTTTTGTATATTATTATATTGAAAAGTTGTTCATATTAAATAAGTTTTGTTTGTTAACCAAAATTTCTGAAAAATAATCTCCTTAAATAGACAGAGGCCTTAAAATTTCACCTATTGTACTGGTCAGATCCTTTGGAAAGATGAATGTACAAAACATTCATATTCTATTGGACTTTTGGTGTAGCCATATTAAAATTTTAAATATTTTATTATGCATATTTAAATATTTTAGACAGTTTTAGATATTGTTATTGTTAGTAATAAAGCATCGATAAAGAGAAAATTAAGTTTAGAAAAGTTAAGTATCTCTCAGTCTCAATTTTATAATGTGAAATGTTGGAATAATAATCTATAAGTCCCAAATTTTATGCCCTATGAAGTAAGAATGTTAATTACAATAGATTTGGGAGCATATCAAATGAGATTATAATTGGAAAACATCTACCCCACTGCCTAACACCTGCTAGATGCTCAATAAACATTAACTATTTTATCTGCTTTTTTAGAATATTACTTAATATACTGCCTGCCACGTCAGAGGCACTTTGTAAATTATTCTTTTTTACTTAAATTTATTTATTCACGTTCATTCACTGTCCATCATGACAACATACAAAATGAGATTTTCCATCCAGAGTACACTGTCTATTGACTCAATCACGCACATCAGCATACATGTTATCCTTTATTACATGAGAGTTTATGAGTGTGGCGAAAGTAGGTATTGTTTCAGAGTGAGCATTATTGATTCGTTTTGTCTTGCGATCACCTTAGATACTTTGATCCTCAGCCATGCGATTTCAGTAACTCTGTTT